CAATAAATAATAGGGTGATATAACATAACAAACGTAATAAAAACTATATTCGTACCGAACCTCATGTTAACTTTCTGGTTTCATCCGTGCACTAATTGATGGGTCTCCATTCGCTTTTGGCAATATTATTTGTTTCCTCTTTTGAGGATAGTTGGTGTCCCTTTTCAAGATTTCCTGAGTCAAAGCTAGAGAATCCGGTCCATGACATGATGATTACACTCGTCAATACAGTTGCCGCACCGCCGCATTCGATTGATTTTTGGCGCAGATTCATTGCTGTTCCCTACAGCATCGTAATCTGGTTGACCGGAATCTGCTCGTGATCGGTCTGCTCAGATCAGCTCGGTAACAATTTTCTACAGTACCGCTGTCAGTAAGATATCTGGATTACTATTATTACCATCTATTATGTCTGGATGCATCCCAAGTGCCCAATGTTTACCGACGAGGGCTTGAGGCGACACTCTTTGGAAACATTCCAAAAGGTTAGGAGTCGAGTGCAGACGTTTGGAACTTGTTTTGGGTGCAACGTGGCAGGGCGAGGATCGAAAGGAGAAAAACGTGTTCAGAGAAAGACAAAGACCGGCTTTTGGTCTTGATGACGAAACGTGAATGCTGGTTGTCAGTTACCAAATTGAGAAATAACCAAATCATGGGACGAAAAGATTGGAAAATCATACGGAGGAAAAATCTCTTCCGACGCTCGGATGGAAATATCTGCGTTTTATCCAGGACACTTACTTTGTGACTTATGTTAGTGCGATTGTTTGAGTGCGGATTTCCATCGTTTCTAATTCAGATTTTTAACGCTGAGCCTACGAAATCCTACCCTTTACTGTTCCCCTTCATGAAAGAATTGTGGACGTGTCCAAGAGTAGTAGTTTCATTCGCTGATTCTCATAATCTGAAATCCTGAAATCCTCTCAAGTGGTGCAGGCAGGACACAGTCAACCTTCAATTCCGGAATGATTGTACTCTCTGCCAAAGTTTCACGTCAACAGACACTTCTTTTCACAAATTCGATCTACTGAGTGAGTGGGTTGGATTCAGCGAGGACCATGAAGCTACCAGGCGAGATCATTGCAGGGCGTTTCAAAGTAGCTATACCATATTCATAATTTCTTCCATAATGAATGGAAGTGCTTACAAAAACTTCTGATCCATCTTGCAGTAGACCCCACTGGAAGGCCCAACTATATTCTTTTCTAAGAGAAAACGTCCCATATATATAGAGTACACTGATTTACTGTATTTATCGAAGCCAAGATAGTAGTTGGATCCACCTGAGTATACGACATTTATGACAAGGTCCCATAAGAATAATTATAACATCATTTGTACTTAAAATCATGGAGTACAATCCGACCTTAATTTTTTATCAGTCTATTTTGGAAACAAGTATATGATTTTTTGAGAAGTTACTTTTCAGGGTGAGTGCATTTGATGGTCCATAACCAGCCAATAAATATTTACCCACCTTCGTCCGGAAGAGGAAAAAGAACCCCATGAGCACCAGGTTGAGACGCAAGGTAGAGCCATGACTGACGCTGTCAATTCTTGACTAGGAGCCAGAGCGCAAAAAGCATAACACACAATTATTCTTGCTCCGGATCCAAAACTAATGTAACACCATAAAGTTCACGACCGAGCAGGAAAATATAAGAAGTCTAAGCGTGAAAGGGTAGCAACTACAGAGCATAGGTGCATGCGCGGTCAGCTACGGCCCGTCGATGGGGAGGATCTTCGACGGGGGATGGGGATCCCACGCGGATTCTGCGAAGAGCGACGAAACGGCCACGACGGCGACTGCAAGTGGTGGTCGTATTTGGAAGCAGTGGGGCCGGGGCCGAGAAAGCGTGATCCTCCATGCTTGCACGAGTGGCTGTAGCGCCGAGGATCTTCTCACGAATTAGATTCGGTGCCAGCAGAGCGAGAAGCAGCGACAGATCGACGCCTGGAAGCTCAGGAAGGGCGAGAGATGGGACGATCTTCGTGATCTCCGGAAAGATCTTTTGCTCACATGTGGTTCAAGAATACGCGCAGTTTCGGCTTCGTAAAAAATCTTAATCCCTTAATATGCATGTTCCGTGTGATCGATCGGACCCGGCCCGGACGTCGACAGAGCTGCCGGAGATTTGTCGATGACATGTCCTCTTCGTTCCTTGTAGTTGGCCATTAGAAAAAGCTTTTATGTGTCCTTTAGCGAGCCCGTTTGCTCGAGAAACATGGCACCGAGCAACGGCTCGAGTGTTTTCTCATGACGCAGGGCTGGTGCACGTGGCCGATCGTGCTCCTACTGCACTCGGGCCTTGAAGCCTTCTGTGCTGGCCATTTGGCGAGATCTGACGTGCAGACGTTTCTATCTCATCCCAACGCCCCTGTTCGGATGCGTCCTCGTCCACTCGTCTGCGCGTCCACCTGGAGTGAGAAGAGGCAGCCATGAATCTGGGCCCACTGCAGCAGTTCCTTTGGGCCAGTGAACTCTGACTTTCAGGTCCGATACTCGTTTTCCACAAATCTCGACAGGTTGTCGGATTGGCCGTTTCGACCCTCAGAAAAGAATCTATTGACGTCACTGGCAATGTGAACAATTTTCACTGCGTGGCAGGATACGCTCCTTGAGATTTACACTGGGTGAATCGTCCTTCTCGGTCTTCTTTCGTCCTCCTAGCCTGAACTGCAGTCCAAGCGAGGAGGCAGACCTTGACTGTGTCCACGATGGCTGAGACAAACTTTCCTCATTTCAAAAATAAAAATAAAAATTGAAACAATCGTCTGCACCCACCGTATTCATGTTGAAGTTCTCGATCTACGTCCTTACGAACAATTGACACGTAGACAATGCATATTCAGTACAGAGCCGAACGATACTTCGGTGCATCGTTCGATGATTTATTATCTATTTGATATGCAGCCACCGCGTTTGATACACCGTGATTTGATATTCGGCCACCGCGCCAGGTGGTAACTGGAAAGGGTCAAGGGCAACAAAAGTTGTACGCCAATGCCTTTGGCACAACTTTTTACCAGACAGACTAATACGCGTTCAGGTCCTGGTAACAGTCAATCTTCTCATCACCGTGCTCAACCACAGCACAAGCGAGAACATGTTAAAACCGCCCGACAGGAGAAAGATCCAGATAATAATCTGTTACAACAAGTGGAAATGTGTGAAAAGTCAGAGCAAGGGTAACAAGTGCAAACGTTTGAAAAGTCATGAGGAAGTGAAATCCCGGGCTTCACCCTCCGCTGGAGATTTCACATGTATGAATTTCTAAGATGGATACATCCAATATTGAAAGTACACCGTAGTGAGTATTCCTGCTTCTAAGTGGCGACTCTTAACCTATCAGGGATTCCTGGACTCTCATAAGACAAGATCGCGGAACGAACACTGAGTGAAGGGTAACATGTGCTAACGTTTGAAAAGTCAGGAGGAAGTGAAATCCAGGGCTTCACCCTCCGCTGGAGATTCACTTGTATGAATTCCAAAGATGAGTACATTCAATATCGAAAGTACAACGTCGTGAGTATTCCTGCTTCTAAGTGGCGACTCTTTACACTAACCGAGATTCCTGGACCCTCCTAAGACAAGATCGCGGAACGAACACTGAGTGAGGGGTGACAGATGCAAAAGTGTGAAAAGTCGTGTGAAAAGTCAGGAGGAAGTGAAATCCCGGGCTTCACCCTCCGCTGGAGATTCACTTGTATGTATTCCAAAGATGAGAACATCCATATCGAAAGTACAACGTCGTGAGTATTCCTGCTTCTAAGTGGCGACTCTTTACACCCACCGAGATTCCTGGACCCTCCTAAGACAAGATCGCGGAACGAACACTGACTGAAGGGTAGCAAGTGCTAACGTTTGAAAAGTCAGGAGGAAGTGAAATCCAGGGCTTCACCCTCTGCTGGAGATTCACTCGTATGAATTCCAAAGATAAGTACATCCATATCGAAAGTACAACGTCGTGAGTATTCCTGCTTCTAAGTGGCGACTCTTTACACCCACCGAGATTCCTGGACCCTCCTTAGACAAGATCGCGGAACGAACACTGACTGAAGGGTAACAGATGCAAACGTGTAAAAAGTCAGGAGGAAGCAGGAATCCAGGGCTTCACCCTCCGCTGGAGATTCACTTGTATAAATTCCTAAGATGAGTACATCCAATATCGAAAGTACAACGTCGTGAGTATTCCTGCTTCTAGGTGGCGACTCTTTAAACTATCCGGGATTCCTGGACTCTTCTAAGACAAGATCGCGGAACGAGCAATGAGTGAAGGGTAACAAATGCAAACGTGTGAAAAGTCAGGAGGATGTGAAATCCAGGGCTTCACCCTCCGCTGGAGATTCACTTGTATAAATTCCTAAGATGAGTACATCCAATATCGAAAGTAAAACGTCGTGAGTATTCCTGCTTCTAGGTGGCGACTCTTTAAACTATCCGGGATTCCTGGACTCTTCTAAGACAAGATCGCGGAACGAACACTGAGTGAAGGGTAACAAGTGCAAACATGTGCAAAGTCAGGAGGAAGTGAAATCCCGGGCTTCACCCTCGGCTGGAGATTCACTTGAATAAATTCCTAAGATGAGTACATCCAATATCGAAAGTACAACGTCGTGAGTATTCCTGCTTCTAGGTGGCGACTCTTTAAACTATCCGGGATTCCTGGACTCTACTAAGACAAGATCGCGGAACGAACAGTGAGTGAAGTTTATCCGCATCCACGATGAACTAACTTCACACTTCATGACCAGCCATACCAGTATAGCTTCCTCGTTTCAACCAGAGCGGCTGAGGGAAGCAACTGATATCTTTTGCAGCTCGCTGGCTGGTATTGGTCGGTTTTGCCTGTGTTGCACATCCAGGTGTATGGCGATCAGTATTGAGAATGATACAATGGCTTGGATATCACCTCAACCGGAATGATGTACAAACTTGTTCACGGGCTGGGGCATCAGAAAGACATTCGAGATGTACCAAGACGACTGGAAGGTAAGAATGAAGTTGAATCACCCAGCATGTAGGTATAATATCTTTTTATATAAATGAGTATCAAAAAAAGGAAGCAGTTAAACACTATCAGCAATCTAACGTCTTCCAATCCTATGCACCCGGCTAGAGCAACAGCTTAAGGCGGGAAAACTTGACTAGCACTTGCACTCGAGAGAATTCCTCTTCAGAGTCATTTCTACACCTACCTATCTAAATCTCACGGGTTCCCTTACTTACAGGGAAAACAGAGTCAACAATCATTTTCCACTCTACAAACGTATGATCCCAGACTCTTCACAACGTTAAGAAAAAGTAACTCAGACTTTGACTCTTCTGTCTGACGTTACCTCTATAAATTATCTACCTCCGAGGAGTTCAGCTGGAAGAAGTGTCTGGGAAATCCGTCACAGGATGACTGCAGGATCAGCTGAGCTAGAGAAACCACTTGCCTAGCACACCTCCAGAGCGCAGTCAGATTGCCGTTTCGCCCAACTACATGGCAGAAATAAACACAGAAGGAGCAGCAGGTCTGCACTGTACATCGATTTAACAGAAGAATCTCTACAATGATAGATGAGGACAGGCCAAAGGAGTGGGTGGTGAATCGGCGTTGGTGGTTCACGATGCGCCTGTGCTCGGTGTCAGACCACAAATGTTCCGATGTTTTAACTCGAGGTGGTGGTCGACGTTTCGAGTGTCATTGGAACACTGGTTTGATAACCATGTTTAATACCGATGAAGTATCAAACGGACCTGGGAATCAGGTGAGGAATGAGACCAAACAAGCTCATGTCATCTCATTCCACTGCTTCACCAGTGTTCACGTCGTATACAGTTTGGCGGACGAATTGACCACGTACGCGAGGACGCTGCTCGGCAAGTCTCTTTCTACTTTGATAACGCACCTGAACGTTGAAAGGGATTGTCAGATGGGCAAAACACGGCAAGACACTAGAGACTCAACAAACAACCTCTCCCAGGGCCAGTCAATCAATATCAATGCAAATGACGTTATGAGCTTAACAACAAGAAGTTCCACAATTCGCAGACATCGAACACTGATTTCAAAAACGAGAGAAGGAATACATGCTGGAGAAGGCAAACTGACCTTCTTTTCGAAGCATCTTTCTTTTCTCTTTTGCCTGAACTTGTTCAAGGCAGCTTCTCGCCGAGCAAAGCGATTTTGTTCAGGATCCACAGCACCCGCGTTCACGGCACCGTTGCCGGACCCACTTTCCCCATTGTTGCCACCACATCCTGCATTCGTGTTGGGAGGAAGGGGGACACCACTCTGTCCGTTCTCATTACTCAGATTGTTGCTTCCCGATGCACTCCCATTGACACTTCCATTGTTCCCGTTGCTGCTCCCACTCTGCCCAGTGTTGCCATCCGGCACGGATCCTGCCATATTCGATGATCCACAGCGAGGGGCCCCGGCTCCTGGATTTTGAACTGTTTGATCATCTTGCATGGACCTAACAGAAGATTGAGGCAAATTGGTGTGGTGATGATGATGATGTTGAGAACGGTGCGGTTGATGATGATGAGAGTGATGGTGGGAAGCATGAGTACCATGCTCTCTATATGGAGGATGATCAAATACTTCGCCTCTATTAGACTTGTGAGCTGGACCGGTGGCCCAGGGAGGTGCAGCAGGATGTGAGTAAAACGAAGGGTGCATCGGTGGGCCGTACGAAGCACATACACCATCATAGATGATGGCAGGAGGAGGAACGCCTGCTCTTGAAATGGGAATTCCGGGAGCAGATGCGGGAGAAGCCGAAGCGGCCTCGTCTTTGATTTGCCTGGAGTTAGCATATCCGTCTTGACCAGACGTGCCTACTACCCCAGATCCTAAATCTTGACCGCTGCCCTTCGGAGGAAGATGAGGGGGATTTGCATGTGGGGTTGAAGCTTCCCCACTGCCCATAAAAGATCCACATCGATCGAATGCGGTAGAATGGTGAAGTTGCCCAGTTTTGCTGCTGCTGGCAAGACCCGACTGTCCCGCGGACAAACTGTAGGCGCCACCCATAGAGTAGGTACCAAGCGCGAGATTGTTCCCTGAAGGAAGATGTTGCTGGATGATGACTCCACTCGTGCTGTATCTGTAAAGTCACAATGCGGAAAAAATGGGAAGGGAAGTCAGATAATGGACATACCAAAACGGCTGGTTCACTCATGTCCCAATACCGCTTCAAATCAGAAACAACTGCTATGGTACTATGAAACAATGCGTTACAAAATGCAAGATGCACTATATTTACAGGGAAGCACTTAATAGAAAGGTGAAGAAAGTACCTTGAAAATGCGGAACCACCTGACTGACGTACAGCACGTCTCTCTTCAACCTCAACATCGTCATCCCCAGGCACTCTTGATCTCTTCAAGGACAGCTCCAAAGTTGGCATCGAGGTCCCAGACGCGTATTTGTCATTCATGACGGGGCTATTGCTAGCACCACGGTCAGAACCTTCCACTCCGTCACTGTCCTCTCCTTCCTTCCGGTCCTCATTGTTTTGACAGGCGATTCCTCCAATTAAATCGATAGCCTTTGCAGAACCGCCAGAATTTGCTGCGCCGGAATTGTATCCTTCCTCCATTTGGTCGACATCGTTGCGGTTGCTCGATGACGGGGAGCCATTGTCGAGGGCGGCACTGTCGTTGAGCTGCTTTTCTTGCTCAGCCTCTTGGAGTTCTACAACTCCAGGTCTTCTTGTGGCCATCTCCAGGTCTTGCCCCATTTGTTCGTCTGGAAAAAGAGGTTCAGCAGATTCTCAGCAAACGTGAAGCGTGTAATGTGAAGAGTGGCGCCAACTGAGAGAATGAAGACGAGAAACCAGAAACAGAGAGTCACGGTTTTCAATAACAAACCTGAGGCTTTCTGCAAAGATGTCGCCTGTCCCTCCTCTTGGTCTCTCTTCTGTTTCTCTCTTGTTTGAACGTGCTCCGCAACCGTCTGAGTACCACTTCCATTATCACTGCCACCTCTCACGTTAAGTCCGCTGCTTCCGTCTTCGCTGCCATCGTTACTCCCGCTGTTATTGCCAGATCCAACTCGACTCTTCGGCTGCATGAACTTTCGCATCCCGCTGCCACTGCCACTTCCGCCACTACCACTTCCGCTTGACTGTAAAACAAGACAGCCGACTGTCAGATAAACGTCCATACACCCAAACTCGACCAAATGCGACCATGGAGGTAAGAGAGGAAAGGATGGCCAAAAGATTTGAAGACTCACGCTTTGACAACGCCAAACGTGCTGCCATAAATTCTTCAACTCATTTTTTCGGACGGGTTTGACCAAGAAATCAGCAGCTCCTTTGAACAAACACCTGTACACGATGTCCAGGGAGTCGTGGGAGGACATCACTACATACCACAAGGAAACCACGGTAAGACACATGCATGGCCGCAGCGTTGACTGTGGATGCCAAAGCTCAACTACCCGAAGGAAGCCATTCATGGAAACCATGAGACATAAGGTGCAGAGTCTCGGCAACCAACCCAGACTATATGAAAGTCTAGTAGTCAGACTAGATCAAACTTGTATATACATTGCCAAAAACCAACTGATACAATCACACTTCACTAAACATAAGTGAGAATCGGTATGCACAATATATCATAGTCAAGTATATGGTTCTAGGCTCAAAATTGATTCAAGGGGGAACCCGGAGGGATGTGACAAAGACCATGAGAGTACAGGCGGTATGTAACTACTTACTGATGACAGGTATTCTCTTTCCTGCTTCACGGCTCATGATTTTGGTGAGTAGTCCCACTCCAGACAAGCAGGGCATGACCACGTCAGTCAACACCAGATCGAAGAAATTATTGGGGTCCTCGAGCATCTCCCAGGCTTGCATTCCGTTGGCAGCAGAAGTAACTGCAGAAGAGAAAGACATCCCGTTAGGCAAGAAATCCAAGGCAGTCAAACCAGGAGAGGAGCATGCAGAGCACAGATGCTCCAATAACTTCATGTCTGCACACGCGAAAGCTCAGGCAAGCTTCTACGCATGTCAGCTTTGTCACGAACAGCTTTCGGTGAACATAACATTCCACGTCGAACTCGTCCATTCGGGTTCGATGGACGTCGATGGCTCCAAGAAGGCACAGAGGCATGCCTTCGTGCCTCGAGGAACTAGTACCTACGTCTCAATATGAGCGCCAGAAGCTTTCTACGTCGAGGAGAGAAAAACTTCACTGAGCTGATCATCTGAGCGACCCATGCTCGTCCTAACTGTACATGTCGCCAGGCACGTTTTGAAGTTTCGAAAGTGTACCTTCATAACCGCAGTTTCGAAGAAGAGCTCCCACCACGTGCCTGGTGGAATCATCGTCTTCTGCCAGCAACACTCTGATGTGCTTTCGAGGTAGGAAGCTTTCCCAGCCTGCAGGCACAACGACCGCCTTTGGTGGGGGCTGTTGTTGTTGCTCGCGAGCCTCTTGTCCGTGCGGCTCTTGTTTTGGTTGGGCCTGCGGCTGCTGTTCTTCTTGTTGCTGCTGCTTCTGGCATTGAGATCGGTCGCCCTTGCCTGGTTGTTCTTCGGCTTGAGGGTGCGATGGCCCTTGCTGGGGGTGATGTTTGGAAGCTGCGTCGGCCATGACACAGTCGCCTTCTTCAAAATCGTCCTCCGTCTCCTCGTCTCTGTCTTCCTCCGTAGACGGGGTGGTGTCCGAAACTCTGACATCTCGAGTCGGCAGGCGCTTCTTCTTGTCGGGTCGGCCTTGCACCTCGGCATCAATATCCATGCGAGCGGCCTTCTCAACATCTGCCCTGCTCTCCTTGGCCTCCACGTTGAGATCGGAGGAACCGCTGAAGCCGTTATTCATGTAACCATTTCCAAATCCCGCATCTCGATCCCTGTCTTTCGAGTTACCATTGTCCCAGTTCCTCCCCCCTTCCAATCCTTCCCGAGGTCCAGAAGGATCCCCATCTTGACCTCCTGTGTTGCTCACCTCGGGCGAGAAATCTTCTTTGAGTCTCGACTCGGCCTCCTTCTCACTGGACTCTGCAGTCATCAGAAGAGAAATTGCAGTACGAAGGCGTGAACCTGTATCGTATTCCGAAGTCGCTCCCGTATGGCTAATCTTCCGAACCTTGCCCGACACTCAAACGCGAAAGGGGCACTCCAGGGGCCCTACGTCGCAGTTCACGGGACATTCGCTAGATGCCCTGCTCGCTCCGAAATGTGCCAAGAATGCAGGGCACTGTCTGCTACAAATATGAGCTGATACGCTATGGTCGGCGCGGCTTTGATGTCCAGAAGGGAGAGTTAAGAGCGCGAACGACTGCAGCGATCTCCTTGCTTCTCTGTGTCACCGTTAGGCGGCAAAAATCGGTTTCCGAATCCAAGATAACATGCTAATAGCATTAGAACCTGGTATCACCCAACAATTGGGGAGGGCTTAGTAACGCACTAATCTGGCAAGCAACAATCAATCGATTCTCAACAGGAGAAGAATGAGAGCGCAGCAATCAATGTAAATGGGAGCAAGAGATGACCAATCGACGGCGTCTCTGTGCAGAAAGACAAGTCCGTATCGATCATGAAGGTGCTGGAGAACACCGCAGGACAAGGGTGGTGAATGCAGCTGCTGGATGCAGGTCCTGCACTTCGATTGGCACCACCCGGGACACGCTTCTCAGCCGGAGCAGGACGACACCACCCAGTTTCACGCACGAGACAACAGCCCAAGGACACCGAGGTGGTGATCACAATCCGCTCTCGACACACAAACCCTCTCGGCAGCAAACAGACCTCTCTTTGCGACGACCACAAACAACAACGGGCTCTTTGAGCAAGAACCAACCGACACTCAGGGCGCCACAACCGACCGACGGCCTACGCTGCTAATGTCAAGCACACTCGTCGCGCACCGCACCGCACCGCCCCGGCTTTCGGAATCAGTGCCTCGATGTTTTACACGGAGGAGGAGCTGTCGGAGGAGGGAGAGGAGGAGAGGAAACCGAGCAGTCTGCCAGGAGCGCCAGAGCGACGAGAGAAGCCGATGCTCGCGCTGGGCAAGAAGGAGAATACTACAGAGGCAGAGAGAGAGGAGCGAGACCTGAACAGCACGCGAGGGCTCTCACACTGCTCTGGGCTGGCAGCGGCAGCGCTGGTAGAGGGAATTGCCGGAACGGGTCGACGTCTGATCTACGGCTGCTCGATGGCTGTGCGAGCGTAGGCTCATTAATTCGAGTCCCACTAGAGAGATGGTTGCGACGTAAGAGGTAACGGGGCGGGACGAGGATGTCGAGAGCCGAAAGGGGAAGAGGCTGGCGTGGAGAGGGAGAAGGGCGCAGGGGGGAGGGGGGAGCCTGATACGCGGGCGGGGCCCGCCAGAGGGAGGATGATTGGTTCACAACGCCGGGGATGCATGTCGCCGCGGACGTGGCAAATAAAATCTTTTTCCTCCATTGGGTAGATACTTCCAGGATTGAGATGGAGATTATTTTTCTGGCCCGCGATTGGCCCATTCGCGCCAGCGTGGCGGAGCCAAATTCCTTGCCACTTCCCAGCCTCATTCGCCCACGGGAAGTGGAGTAAACTCGCGGCCGGTGAAAGCGAGACGCTGCGGACTAGGCCTACCCCCGGGGCCTCCTGCGCCTACTCCTGCTGCTCTGCTGGTGGGCAGGCAAGTGGGCAGTCCGGGCTCTGCCCGCCCGCGCTTGCCCGTCGCCGCCCGCCGCCGCCCGTCGCGACGTCGATCTTCGCGTCACCCCTTCGCCGGCGCCCGTCAAAACCCGAGATATTTCGCAATCCTGTGGGTGGTGCCACGTGGCGGGCGGACGACTCCTGACAGAAAAATCTCTTGGTGCCCTGCTTCTGCTTGCCCCGGTCTCCACCACATCGCCGGCCCTAGAGCGGCCACGTCCCTCGCGCTGTCCTCCCCGCCCTCATTTACTCGCCCCCGAGACGTATTTTCTCGCCCAAGACGTGGTCCTCAGATTTTTGCTTCTTGTTTATGTTTGACCATCCACCGGATTTCTTACCTCCCGTCATCCTGTCAGTTCTGGCACCACGTCGGATTCTGAAGACTAATATCTTGCGTCTCGTTTACCCATTTCCTCCCCCGTGATCATTCGCCCGGTAACTTTCCTCGCCCGCTTGCCCACTCTCAGATTTTTATTGCTTTCCCCCGTCTGTCCCGCCCGGGCCGGTTGCGCCCGAGCTCCCAAGCCCGACCCGGTTCCCGTCAGCGTGTAGCCGCGGCTGATCTTCTTCGGGTTTGCCACCTCCGCTGAACCCTGATCGTGATGCAAATATATCTTCGTCTCAGCGGACTGTGGTTGATCTAACCATGGTTCGCCATGTTAACCTCGGATCGGCTTCTTACCTCGGTAGGCTCATATTTCCGAGGGTTGTCCGGTATAAGTTCCGTGTCCTACAAAATAGGGTGTATGTGTATTGATCGAAATGCAGATTAAGACAGCTGGACTTCGATGTAGACTGGTTTCACATCTGGTTATATTTGTACATTTTCAACTTGCTATTCCATTTCATACTGTTGGATACTTGTAAATTCACAGGTTATTTACTATAACCTTGCTATTATACATAGTTTGAATGTTACATGAAAATTTTCAATTTTCAGATAAATTTTACGTTTTAATTACATTGTTCCGTAACTGGATGTAAGCTTGGGGTTAAGTGATTGATGGTCTTTCTTAAATATTACTATTTTGTATTTGGTCGACATTTTTCAAATTACATCAAATGATATATATGTATATATATACACGTCATGTCAAAAAAAAATTAAAAAATCCGGAAATTTTAAATATTTCTTATTCATCATTCAAAAAATGTCTATCAAACCACCAAGAATTTCTCCAGATATAGGATAACTCTTTTTGTCGTTCAATTCTAAATTGTTTTATTAAAAAATATAACTGCTATTGCTTCAAAATTATGCAAAAGCAAGAACATTCATATTCAATACTTCTATCGTTATATATCATTTATCCCATTGCCACATCAAACGTCTTATGCTGCTTTGAGTATTATAATAATAATATCGATTATAATCAAATATAATTGTGAATTCAATATAATATTCTAAATCTAATCATATATATCACAATTATAATATATAATTTCAATTTAGTCTCAAGCATGTCATATTCATAATCAAAATACCAAAAAATTCACAGTTAAAGATAACTTACTTTTGAATGACTAATTACTTGCACCAACTTAAATTATATCCTAATCATCATTTTGTATTTATAATATCATGTTCAAAAAACATAAGATATGATTCAATGTATAGTGTAAACATAAACAAAATTGTTAAACAAATTTATATGATTTTTTGCAACTACATGAAGATGCATTCATACCTCATGTACACTAATGTATTGTATCACAACAAAATATTACATTTCACTATAAATTATATAAAATTCATTAAAACACACAAATTTATGAAAATAACTTGAAAAAAAACCTTTATCATATAAATTTGTGTATTTTTGGCAAAAAATCAAAATTAAGTCATTAGATTGTATAATGTTTCAATAATGTTAATTTAAACAACCTGTAACATGCATTCATAGTCTCGATTGTTTATATTTAATGATCATCATTTTTTTCTCATATCTCAATATTTCGTAATGCAAATTAATATATTCTCTAATAACTGAATTTAACTTAGACATATCTTCAATATATTGATAATTACACAAATCATTTTGACAATCTCATCAATCAATAATAATTTACATAACAGACGAAAATTATAGGCGTAAAATACAAAATCATGATATTATATTATATATGTTTAATTCTGCTTTTGCTGTTGTTATAACAGATTCATAGAATTTAATATCAAACTGAACATGATATAACATAATCATTTATACAGATAGAATGGCTCATTGTTGAGTCGTTCTATCATTGTCATTATTGTTTATTAATATATTTGCATGAAAATAATACTGTGCAAATATATTTAAAGTAACACTTGCAAATATAACTTATTTTTTTGTCAAATTATTTACTTACATTGATACCAAAATTAGCACGTTTCATTTTCCTTTATACTTTCAATGCAATATTTGAAATATTTTCTAAAATCCTTGATATTAGCCTGACCTTTGAATACATACATTGAAAAATATATTTTGCATGTATCTACAAATTAACATAGATGAATGAAAATAAAACTCTGCCTAAACACTTAAGAAAATGTTGAAGTAATATATTTGATACTAACACTAAAACTCAAACACAAGTTTCTAAATGTTAATTAAGAAACGTAAATTTAGTCTTTGTTGAACTATAATTCAGAGTGATTAAATTTGATTCAGCACGTAAATAGAAATTAATTTATATAAAGAAAATTAAAATTCAAAGGAATATGAATAGATAGAGTTTTTTTAAAATCCCATATACAGAAATTGTCATGCATATGATGGACAAATTTTCCCAAACTGTCAGCATCAAACAATTATCATTGAGTTTTTTAGTGTTTGTATAATGAGTTAAAAATGTGTGTTTTATGAAGCTATGTATTTAAAAATACATTTCATTAGTAACATATCACAATATTATCGAGAAGCCTCATTTATCCTAAGATTGTTTTAATGATCATAGTTTTTGAATTTTCTTTAAAGATGACATCTGATTAATCTTATAATGCAAAATATATAATTTTTGAAACAGATTTTTTTGATGTAGGGATTTTTTTTATTTTGTCCCTGAAATATTTTGAAATGTTGGTTTAAATACCTAAATATTTTGTAACGTTTAAAGCCAATTATCCATTATAATTAAAAGTAATAGAAATTGTATTATAAGTTTAATAAATCATTAAATTGAGCTGATTTTTTTTCATATCATATTGACTTTAAAAAAAGAATTTTTTCTATTTTTTGTAATGTGTAATACAACATATATTATGTAATCTAATGAGCAATGAAAATATTAAAATACAATTTTATTAATTCAAAGAACTAAAATAAATTTTTTCCCTTTTTTGAATAGTTTTTTTTCTTTCTTTGAACGTGAAATATCTTCATGTTAAAAGTTTGATGTATTTCGAAAGAATTAATTATTTTTTAAAAGATGAAATAGAATGTATTGACATCTGTTATTACATTATTTCTAAGTTTCAATATCATTTTTTGATATCAAATCAATAGTGTATCTTTGATGTCACGTTATAATAATATATTTGATGAAATAAAATATCAAAATAGAATCATTATATATGGTATATATTTTTTATGATATTATTTTTTATTTTTTATTTTATTTATATTATATAAATAATAATCTATATAATAATTGATCAATTTAAAATTTGATGTAGAGTTAGAATTTATTTTAATTTATTGGTGATGGTGTGAAGAATTTGTTCATAAGTGTATAACAAGCATGGGTTTATATATAAAAAGAAATTAAAGAATGGAACAAAAAAATTTATTTACCAAATATTTTCAAACATTAATTTTTATGATCCTTCTCAACAACATGTATTCATTGCTCAACTAGTTATGCAATCCATCAAAGAGCAATTGAGAAGAGCTTAAGACCATTTTTAAAAATCAGTTATTGTCAGTGATTTACTTTCTCGGAAAGCATAAAGAATTCTATAAAGTTTTGTTCCCATGATATTATTTTCTTTTATTGGACAGCACTATGGTTTCGTGGTGTCCAACAAAACAATATATTCAGATGATGCTTCTTCATATATGCTCATGTAGTAAGTAGAGCTCGATAGTTGGGGCACCCTAGAGTCACTTTGAGATATTAACTGCTGCGATGTGATGGGTCTTAGTCACATCTTCCTCCCTCGGTTTCATTGAACCCATGTGCAACTTGATGGGGTATCCCCATCCTTCTTTGCCGTGTACTTGAAGGTGGTCCTTTATAGTATGTCGTATGGTCAGAAGGTGTAAATCACGGAGAAGGTCATGTCCCAAGCTTGGGGCTCATCCATCGACAGGATGCTAACCCGATTCATGAAGTCATAGAAAAACTGCATGACTTCATACATATCTGCATAACACTGAATCATACATATTAGTAATAAATATAGTTACCAAGCACTATTTTGAGAAGTCATCCTCTCGACAAAGTACTTCTCAAGAACCAGCATATGGCTCGTACCATGAGGACCTTCATCTCTCAACGAGACGAGCATGAGACCAAGAATGTGCAGGCTAATGCCTCAACCTATGTCTCGGGTTTAACTCCACGGTCGCTGCAGGAGACACAAATTTTGAAGATAATGGGGCAATCTGAAGAATTCTGCG